TACAATATGACACAGACTGGACCAGTGATCTCTGGACTATAGGATTACAATATGACACAGACTGGACCACTGACCTCTGGACTACAGGGTTACAATAGGACACAGCCCAGATTGGACCCAGAGATCTCTAGATTACTGGGCTGAACCTAAGTAAAGAAGCTGTTATCTATACGTTCAGGGCACTGAAGTAAATGAAATGTATGATTGCAGGTTCAAAAACTGCAAGATGCAGGAACAAGAGGGTGAGTCAGCAAAAGCAAAGCACAGCAACGCCCGAGAGGCCAGGGTTAGAACTGCAACCATAGAAAGTGAGAAGAAGAGAGAATCCCAGATGACCGGAAGTGGAGAAATGGATGGTGAGAGGAGAGAGACAAGAGTGAGAGGAAGGCAGAGAGAGAAGGAGAGATGGAGGGAGGGAGCAGGGACAGCAGCAGGACCCCATGCAGGTTTCTTACCAAAGAGAGAGACTCTGTGTCTCACCAGAGCGGCCAACTTACAGAAGATACTAAAGCAGGAGAAACAAAAAAGAAAAGAAAACAAGAAGAGAAAAAGAAAAAGAGGGAGAGATAGAGAGAGGTTGAAGTGAGGGGAAAAAGATCAGAAGAACGAGTACAGCAGTGTCAGCACACGCAGAAGAAACAGAGGAAACAGTGCGTGTGAGAGACGGAGTAGGAAGAGACACGGTGAAGAAAGAACAAACAAAGAAGAGGAGAGGAAGGGAGGAAAATGCCGGGAAAGCACAGGAAAGAGATTAGCAACTTGGCGGGAGCAAGACGGACTCTAGTGTGTACAGTGTGTGTAGGCAGTGTTGCGGTGTGGGTACAGTGCGTACAGTGTGTGTACAGTGTAAACAGTGTGTACAGTGTGTGTAGGTGTAGCGGAGCTAGTGTGGGGACGTCAGCGCCCTCAGCAGGGACCTCAGCTGCCTGGGCTGACGGAAGCCCTGTTGCGTTACGCCGGAGACCCGGGTTCGCGCCCCAGGTGTGGGGACGGAACGGGTGGCGGGGGGCACGACCCCACGCAGAACCGTGACTATCACATAGGCAGTGTTGCGGTGTGTGTACAGTGTGGGTACAGTGTGTACAGTGTGCACAGTGTATATACTGTAGGCAGTGTTGCGGTGTGTGTACAGTGTGGGTACAGTGTGTACAGTTGTTTAGGCAGTGTTGCGGTGAGGGTACAGTGTGTACAGTGTGTGTAGGCAGTGTTCCGGTGTGGGTACAGTGTGTAAAGTGTGTGTACAGTGTATATAGGCAGTGTTGCGGCGTGGGTACATTGTGTGCTGGCAGTGTATGTAGTGTGGTTACAGTGTCTGCAGGCAGTGTTACAGTGCACCACCATGCCCAGTGTGGTCCCAGCTCAGGTGCACAGCTGTGCAACCCAGCATATTACCTGGTGACAGCATAGCCGTTGAGTGTGTGTACATTGAGGGTAGAGTGTGTGTAGGCAGTGTATGTAGTATGTGTTGTGTATAGTGTGGGTACAGTGTGTGCTGGCAGTGTATGTAGTGTGGGTACAGTGTGTGCAGGCAGTGTTACATTGTAGATGCAGTGGGCACAGTATAGCTACAATGTGTGGAGTGTGCGTAGGCAGTGTGAGCCATGGTTACCTGGCTATCATTTCCTTCTCCTTGTTGGAGGAGTGGCTCCCGCTGCCCAGCACCTTGGCAGGAGTGGACAGGAAGTACAAACAGTGGTTCTTGAAGTACTGGTTAATGAGGGGGAGCAGGATCTGACACACACAAACACAGAGAGAAAGATCACATCACTTGTGTACTGGTTGTATTAGTGCTGCACTCAGCTGGTACCTGTTCTCTCCTCTCCTCACCTTGGCAAAGAATTTAATCTCCTGTTCATGTGGGGACTTCTCCACTCGCCCACTGCTCACCACAGCCTCTGGACAGAGAGAGAGACAGGTTAAACCCTCAGACACACATCTTACTGCCCCAGGCTATTAAACTCTCTCCCCACCCCCTCCTCTCCACATCCCCATTCCTCCTCTACTGCTTTTCTCTCTACATCCACCTCCCCCATCCTCCACCCTCCCCCCATCTCCCACTCTGCCCTCACCCAGATGGGCGATGAACTCCTGTGCTATGTCCATCCACTTGAGCAGTTTCTGCAGGAACCCATAGGCGAAGCGCTTCTCAATGGAGGAGGTGTCCAACTCCATATCCTTCAGACCCCTGAGAAGGCACAGGAGAGGGAGAGACAGTGGGAGAGGAAGAGCAGTCCATCAGTATGTCTGAGTGCCAGCGCGTCACAATGTTCAATTTTAATTACATTTTTTTATCTGGTTAAAAAGGTTTCACAGCATAGTGCATGGCTTAACCATGCTTTTTGTGGGTGCTGCTATGCAGGAGTGTGATCATACTTCCTCACCACCATGCCCAGTGTGGTCCCAGCTCAGGTGCACAGCTGTGCAACCCAGCATATTACCTGGTGACAGCATAGCCGTTGAGCTGCAGGAATTTGAGCAACTCATGGGCCTTCTCTCGATCCCGGGCCTTCTCCTTTGCAGTCAGGGTGTCATAAGGCACCAGCAAGGGATGAGTACCGCCCCCTACAGGACAGGTGCACAGTAATATAATAAGTGATACATTAACTAACACACATATACACTAGCACATCACCTAACTGAATAACTGACCTGTTAAGCTTAACTCACACTCTTCACTGTGAGATGCAATACTATTTAAAAAGAAACAAGCAAAAAGAAATTTACAAACGAGAGAAGGCTATTTGGCTCTCTAGCCTGTTTAGCAGTTGGTAGAAGCTAACTGATACAAGCGCTCATCCAGTCTTTTCTTGAAAGGAGTCAGGGTATCGGCTTCAACAACATGACTCCCATAACCCACTAGGTAAAGAAATGTCTCCTGTTCTCAGTTTTTAAGCTAGTTTCATATCCTCTGGTTCATGTTTCACTGTTGATTTTGAAAATGTCAGGTGGGTTGAGTTTGGTCAAGCTTGTGAGGGTTTTGAAGATTAGTATCAGGTCCTCTCGTAGTGTTCACTGTCCCAGATAAAAAAGAATGAGTTCCTCCAGCTTTTCAGAGTACAACTCTCTTGAGCCCTGGAGATACTGTAGAGATGTCTCTGGGGACTGAGGTCCCAGTCTCCTCTTCTTACCTTTGGCCTGCAGCTCCAGTTTCTTCTTGCGGCCCCAGGTGTTGTGGTAGTTCTCTGCCAGCTGCTCAGCCATGGCCTGGATGGAGAGAGAGTCAATAAGGAAAGGAGAGAAGTAGGGACAGAGCAGGAGGAGAGCTTGAACGTGCTGTATTGTCAGAAGTGATTGTGTCCTAACTTGTGCATGTTTATCACTTTGTCCATTCCAGACCTGTGCGTCTCTCCTATTTTGTCCAGTCTATTCAAGTTTGTGTCTCCTAATGTGCTCAGTTTACTTTGATATGGCTGTTAGTGTGTCTGATCCTATCCAGTGCAGTATATGTCTCCTACTTTGCCCTTTGTCTGTGTCTCCAGTCCAGCTGCTTGTGTTCAGTTCTCTCAGTTCAGTTCAGGCTCTGAGCTGCTCCTTACCAGCCCAGTCTTACCTGCAGTTCTCTGGACAGTGCCATGCCAGAGATCTCAATGGGCTGGGGATTATAGCCATGGCTGGGATCATAGGTGGCCTGAAGCACAGAGGAGAGAAAATTCACAGTCAACAGAGTCACACTGCAGCTCCAACATTATAAGCTTGAGGAGAGGAAGAGCCTGTACTCTCATGAAACTGTTCGTTCACACTTGTCTCACTTTCTGCCCAGTTCTCTCCCACCCTCTGATGGAGGGAGAGAACGGGTAGATGCAATCCTTTCATCTCTTCGTCCCTCCCTCCCTTTATCTTCCCACCTCTCCTCTTCTCCCCTGCCCTCCCGTCTCTCCACCTTTCCTGTGTCTGACCTGCACGGTCTGCGATATCTTCCTCGTCTTCTTTTTCTCCGTCTTCTCCTCCTCCCCCTCCCTCGCCTTCTCCAGCGTCCACTCCCAGGCAATCATGGCCTTAATGGACTCCTTGATGGGCCAGCGGTAAATTTCCTTGTCCTAGGAGAGACACAGGAGGCTGTGAGAGAGAGCCCAACAAGGACAAGCCAGACAGAGAGAGGCCATCACACTGAATACGGGACTGAAAGACAGACAGGGCCCTGACCTTCTCAGAGAAGGTCTTGTATGGTCTCAGCATGGGGTGAGTCTTGGCATTCTCATCCAGAATCTCTCCATACGTCCAGTTATTCTGGATCTGGGGACACAGCACAAACACATGCAAACATTAAAGTATTAATCAGTAACAGGGCACTCACTGTTCTGAACTGAAATAGCTGTTAAAAAACGAGCAACTGTAGTATACTAATGGCAACTTCAAGATATTTTAATTATTTTACTATTTCTGTCCGGAGGATATTTTTCTTTCTTTCCCTTCTTTTGATACTTTCATGCTATTTTTACTCCCTCTTCCTCTCCCCACCCCTCACCGTCTCACAAGCTGTTCCCAACTACGTGCTTCTGTCCTCTCTCTCTCCTTCCCTGTCCCTTCCTTCCTCTCCTGCCCTGCTCCTCTCCTCAGCTCTCTCTCTTATCTCACCTTTTCAAAGGCCCACTTGTCGTGCGTATATTCGGCATATTTGTTGATGAAGCCATCCAGCTTCTCAGGGATGATAGTGCTGGAATAAACACACAGTGACAAAGACACATAATGGTGGACACATAATCGTGGTAATGAACCAGTTCATTTTCTATGGATTTTTTACCTTCTGAAGGGAGTGACTTGTCCTGTTTTTATTATAGTTAAATCACATATTAGATCACATATGTATTTTCTTAATGGTGGGTGGGGATTCACAATGTCTAATGAAATAACTGTAGAGGTGTCTTCTTTTAATTCAATAACCATGCAGTTTGGAATAAGTGCAGAATGTTTCTATTTTTAATTCTTGAACTGTGCAGTTTGGAATAACTGTAGAGTTTTCCATTTTTATTCATATATCCACTCAGTGTAGCATCGCTTTATGCTTCGGCTCACAATGGTGACCCCTGTACCCACACGGGGAGAGAGGGGAAGCGCAGGCAGACTCTTCTGACCTGCCCACCCAGATTGAGCCAGTTGTCAGATTCAGCATGAGAGAAGAGGCGCTGCCCGCCCTGGTGACCAACCCTGTGCTCTGCCAGTTAGGGAATCCCAATCAGTTGGCCAGAGCCTCGAGACTCTGCTGTATTCATTATTTGCTTTAAAGTGGAAAAGCCCATTCTCTCACTTGGTGGTCTCTACAGGTTTGGGGTCAAAGTTGCCCTCAGCGTCCACAGAAGCCTTCTTCTCCGTCTTGGAGGAGTAGCTGGCATCCACGTAGTCCGGAGGGATGGCCCCAGCGATGGCACAGATACAGGGCATGGCAATTTTAAAAAGCTCTGGGTCAAATTTCTGAGACAAAGAGAAAGACACACTCCTGTCACTAAAAATCAGTCCTGACTGCTGTTGTCACTCTGGATTACTGCTGTCACTAACAATCATCCTGACTGCTGCTGTCACTCTGGATTACTGCTGTCACTAACAATCAGTCCTGACTGCTGCTGTCACTCTGGATTACTGCTGTCACTAACAATCATATTGACTGCTCCTGTCACTCTGGATTACTGCTGTCACTAACAATCATCCTGACTGCTGCTGTCACTCTGGATTACTGC